GAACGTCATGACGTTGCTGTCTCGAAAGAGAGCCAGCGAGAAGCTGATTGGCCAGACGAGGTCGGCGATAGGTGTAAGTGTTGGCGGGAGAGAGCTGTAGGGGGCGGAGTTTTTGAAAGGTTAGCGCGCGCGCATAGGCTGCTTGTGGTTCTTGGAGTGTGAAGCTGCTGGATTGTGGGCAAGATGTGGAATAATCATGGTGAGTCCTGGGTGCCGGGAATATATCATGTGCTCTTCTACGGTTTCTTCCTGCGATTGCGGGCTGCATGGGTTCCGGGGTATCCCGCTGCTGAGGTGCCATGCGGTGTCTTAATATAGAGCGTTATGACGTCCACTTCATGAAATCTGCAAGCCAGGTTGCTGCTTGACGTTGTTAAAGGGAAATCTCACCTTATAGAACATGATGCTTCCTTCTTCCAAAGGGAGAAAATGTGTATTGTTTTTCCCTTTGGAACCAGTAAAGCAGGGGTATTGAATCACATTTCAGGGGGGGTCTGGTGAACAACATGTACATTTTTAAGCTGAGGTCTGAAGTGAATCGTGGCCTGGACAGAACAGTTATTTGTTCTCCAGGTCTGCCATTTAGGCTGCGTTCACAGCAGCAGCTGGTGGCGTGTGTTCCCAGGCGCAGTACTGATGTGCCAATCCTGATTTATCACACTGTTTTATATTTTGTTATAGGTCCCCTGCCCTGTTTACATACAACCAACATGTTCAGAGTTGGTTTTACATTTTATTCTATTTTTATACTTTATCACCCTTTTTTTATTTTTATTTTTTGTTAGCCCCTATGTGACAGCAAACGTCAGTTTTTCGTCTCCTCTGTGTTATCACTGAGATAGGTGGCGCTGTGATCACAGCGCCACCTGTCTCGGCTGTCAGGAACATCTTACCCTCCGCCGGTACAGGTGTACTGTCCTTACACCGTACTGTCCAGCGCAGTCCTGCCCTATGTATTTTGAATTTCGCTCGCAAATTGCAAGCACTCATTGATCAGCGTGGTCTAGGGACCACGCTGATCAATGAAAAGCGCTATTTAGCACAGACCAATACAGTTTTGATTAGGGATGCACAGATACAGAGTATTTGGGCAAGTACTTGTACTCGCCCAAATGCTCGATATCTTCTCCAATACCGGAACTTCTGGTCAGAGGAAGACTTCCTCTGACCTGCAGTGCCATAGGGGAACATGGAGCCAGCTTCCTGTGCAATCAGGAAGCGGGTCAGCGACTAATGACCTCCCAATTTCCTGATTGGCCAGGACGCCAGCTCCTTGCTGATTGGCTGGGAAGCCAGCTTCCCAGCCAATCAGCATCGAGCCGGAGTCGGCTTCCCTGGCAGTCAGGAAGCCAGGTAGCATCTCATTACCCGCAGCCCGGCTTCCTGATTGCCCGGGAAGCCTGCTCCATGCAAACAGAAGCACCGATACTCGGTGAGTACCGAAAGCAAAATATCGGTACTCGTACTTGATACCCAAAAAACGGTATTGGTGCATCCCTAGTCTTAATTAAAACAATTTTTTTTTTTTATTGGGACAAGTAGATTGTTATGAAGGACAAGTAGATTTGGCCCCCGCTTTAGCCCCTGGACAAGTAGTTTTTTAAAAAATTTCCACACCCCTGTTCAGTGATCACAGAGTGGATTGGGGAATGGATGTTGCCCGGTCTGCTCCTGCTCTCCATCCTGACACTGCTGTGGTCCTGGGCCCACAGGGGAACTGAAAACCACGGAGGGGGGTGGGTGGCACAATTGTGGGTAAAACAAGGGATCTGGGTGGCCGTACAGCCGGCCAGATCACTTGTAGTAGCCGGCCCTGCCTGATGTCATTGGCTGCTAGGAAGGCAGCAGTCCTAGGAACCAGTGACAGTGGGGGGGCTTGTGCTGGGTTATGGCTGATAGGCTCAGAGGCCAGTGTATCCATTGTCAGCAATTGTGGTCTCAACAGAACTGCCATTTGTGAGCAATTGTGGTCTCAACAGAACTGCCACTCGGTCCATGTCTGGACCGCGGTCTGCTATTTAGTGATCCTTGCAGTAAAGCATTGCAACCATTATCCGTAGATCCAGAGTGCAATGGTCTGGCTGCTGCAGACACTGCCTCTCATCCATGTCTGTACATGACCATCAGTAACAATGGAAGGGAGAAGAATGAATCGACTACGGTGATGTCACTGCATTTGTATTCCATTGAGAACTACAAGTCCCTCTGCCATAGTGTCTGATGGAACTTGTGGTTTCTCCATTCACATATTCTACCAAAGGATCTGTGAATGGATGATGGCTGTGTGACTCCACCCACACAATCACATGCAGAATTAAAAAAATGCACACCATCCTTCAGGGAGAAGGACCCTGTGATTCTGGTAAGAGAGGGATTCCGATATGTCCATATTTCATGGTAACATCCTGAATGTGTGTGTGTAACATCTGACATGGTCAGAAAAGTAAACCTATCCTTTGAACATTATAAGAATATAATAAAACGACTAAATTGGACATGCAAAAGAATGCATTTAAGAGAAAAAAAATTGCACATCTTTATCCATTTTTATAAATCCCCCCCCCCCAGGTTGTGAGTCATTCTGTGTGATCTGCCCCTGGACATACACTATATTACCAAAAGTATTGGGATGCCTGCCTTTACACGCACATGAACTTTAATGGTGTCTTAGTCCGTAGGGTTCAATATTGAGTTGGCCCGCCCTTTGCAGCTATAACAGCTTCAACTCTTCTGGGAAGGCGTCTACAAGGTTTAGGAGTGTGTCTATAGGAATGTTTGACTATTCTTCCAGAACCGCATTTGTGAGGTCAGTTACTGATGTTGGACGAGAAGGCCTGGCTCGCAGTCTCCGCTCTAATTCATCCCAAAAGTGTTCTATCGGGTTGAGGTCAGGACTCTGTGCAGGCCAGTCAAGTTCCTCCGCCCCAAACTCACTCATCCATGTCTTTATGGACCTTGCTTTCTGCACTGGTGCGCAGTCATGTTGGAACAGGAAGGGGCCATCCCCAAACTGTTCCCACAAAGTTGGGAGCATGAAATTGTCCAAAATCTCTTGGAATGCTGGTGCCTTAAGAGTTCCTTTCACTGGAACTAAGGGGCCAAGCCCAACCCCTGAAAAACAACCCCACACCATAACCCCCCCTACACCAAACCTTACACTTGGCACAATGCAGTCAGGGAAGTACCGTTCTCCTGGCAACCGCCAAACCCAGACACGTCCATCGGATTGCCAGACAGAGAAGCGTGATTCGTCACTCCAGAGAACACGTCTCCACCTCTCGAGTCCAGTGGCGGCGTGCTTTACACCACTGCATTCGACGCTTTGCAATGCACTTGGTGATGTAAGGCTTGGATGCAGCTGCTCGGCCATGGAAACCCATTCCATGAAGCTCTCTACGCAATGTTGTTGTGCCAATCTGAAGGCCACACAAAGTTTGGCGGTCTGTAGCTATTGACTCTACAGACAGTTGGTGACTTCTGTGCACTTCAGCAGGCGTGACCCCGCTTTGTCATTTTACGTGGCCTGCCACTTCGTGGCTGAGTTGCTTTTGTTCCCAATTGCTTTCACTTTGTTATAATACTACAAACAGTTGACCGTGGAATATTTAGTAGCAAGGACATTTCACAGAACACCAGAATCCAATGATTGGAGAGGTGTCCCAATACTTTTGGTAATATAGTGTATATAAAAAGCATTACAAACATTTACTTTGCCAACACTAGTTAAAGTATTTGGTTTTCAGCCCAGCAGGCATTTTAAGGTGTGTCGTTGACAGGCTTTTGTTCACATTGGATGGATTTTGCATTCCTTTACAAGTCTTTGACCATGCAAAACTTGTTAAAGGTTAAAGCCCACCTCCAGCAAACAAAACAAAAGTACCCTTGCAGTGTGAGTACCTCTGCAGTACAAGGGTTAAATATTTTTTGTCTATGGGCTGGAGCAAAGGAGATTTGCTTATCTGACCAGTCCCTGCAATCCTTTCTGCCTTGGGCTCTGGTAGTCTTAAAGGAGCACTATGAGGTGAGTGCTTTTCACTCACCTCATAGTTCTAGCCAACCTGTGACAATGAGACTGTCACAGGTCGGCTCAGTAGATCGGGAGGTGAGGGAACACATACCGGCGTTCGTTCACCTCTCGATCCTGTCACGGCTCTCTGCCGTGACGGGGAGGGGCTGGATTGCCCCGCTCCGATCCGCCAGCGCTGACTGGCGGAGGGGGCGGCTACAGCTGGCTCTGCCTTTTTAGATAGGCAGAGCCAGTTGTCAGTCACACAGCTGGGCGGATCCCAGCACATTTGTCGGGATCCGCATCAGCTGCGGCGTCTCAGTATACCGCGAGCTACAGCTCGCGGTATACTGAGCTTAGGGTGACGGGAGAACGCTAGTTTGTGTCCTCCCATTACCTTAAGGAGAACTATGGGGAAAAGCCTTAACCCCATAGTTCTCCTTTTTAAGGACCGCTGATGTCGTCATGTCTAATGCAGGTTCCATGGATCTGCATTAGATATTAGGATGCTGAGGGATTTTCCACCAGCCATAACAGGGGAGAGAAGATGAGAGCACTGACCACCAGGGGAGTGAGGACGAGGTAAGTAAATCTGCTGTAGCCCCACTGCAAAGGTACTTTTTTTTTTCACCCCCCCCCCATTTCCCGGAGATGGTTGTTAAATGCACCCATCAATGAATTGGGAACGATCTTAGAAAGCATCTCTAACTAATGCCATGGCCTCATCACTTATAAAAGGGGCCAATTGCATGAGCCTCACAAATTCCTCCATGAGACTCCTGCATCAGCTGTGGACCGGAGGCTCTACATTACAATGATGGCTGACACCACCCGCAGCTGTTTACAGGCCATTCACGTGTAATCACACATGCGATTACCTGCAGACGGTCACACCCGGAACCAAAGACCATGATCCACAGGCAATTGCATGTAATTGCAAATGATGTGCACAGCTGCGGGCAAAGGCAACTGTCACTAGATTGTACAACGCCTTTGGCCTGCATCTGATCGATCGCATGAGTCTCATGGAGGAATTTGTGAGGCTCATGCGATCTGTCCCATTCACAAGTGTGAGTAGGACCTTATTCTGACTGACACGGAACAGTCAATCAATTATTGAGTTGATTATTTGAAATTATCTTTTAATGTTAGTGACATTAAAGTCAAAGATATTTGTCCCTCCCCCCAATGTTAATTAAACGTACCATAAATTAGGTTTCCTAATCCGATCATTTTAGTTCCTTTTTGTTTTCATCTGTCACTCCAGCGCTGCTGCGGGTCTCCGATCCAGCGCTGACTCCTCTCCTTGCTATCACTTCCTGTCCCACAGTGTCTGCATGCGGGTGCACGCGTCCATAGACTTACCTTGTGTGTCTCCTTGTCTCACGGCTGAACAGCGCATGCGCCTGCCCCAAGATGCTTTGCGGTCACCCAAGATTTTTCACATTTTCGGACGGGAGCGCACGGGGTAGACACAGGTAAGTTTAAAGCGTGTTTTTTAAAAAAAATGTTTTATGCTTTTTGCATATATCTACTGCTTGCTAACAGTAGATATATGCAAAAACACCAAAGGGTTTAATAACCCTTTAAGGTGGCTATTGCCACAAAAGGAAAGTGCAAAAAAAAAGCTTGCTGCTAAAGGGGATGAATAATGCTTACATTTCCACTGCACAGGGACTCCGATCTTGGCTGTCTTGAGAAGCTAAGCTGGCTGAACAATCTTCAGCATCAGACATGCTTTGGGGGTATTGGATACCTGGTCCAGAATTGCACACTCTGGTTCCATCGACCAATACCTATGTCACTACAGAGAATATCTGACACACACACACGCTCTCAAATCCAGGGATAGAGCTTCTTGGATAGAGATACATTGGAGTCCCCACACAATGGAGAGTTAAGTGTAATTCATCTTTTGAGGCAGTTTTTTTTTTTTTGAGATGCAAGTCTCTATTCACATATAGCGTTTGCAGTGCGATTTTTCCCTGCCCTATACGGCTCAAAATGGTAAAATCTTTACGTCTGCACAGATTCCGCTCATTTGCGACGACTAAAGCAGCGAACGTGCGGAATTACCCCCTGAAATCGTGCTTGGACTATTTTGTGGGACAAAAGGTTTTGTACCGCGTGGTCTCCGCAATAGTCTGAACAATGCACATTAAAATGCATTGTTTTTGTTTAGAGCGGTTCCGCGTGTATTTGACTGATTACGCAGGGAAAACTATCATGTGTGAATAGAGCCTTAGAGTAGCTTTAAAGAGTATTTATACTTTTGCAGCCAAATTAGGATGACACCTAAATTATATTTCTTAGATGTTACATAGCGGAAGTGAAAAAATAAATATGGGTGCTTACATTTTACTTGCTCTTGTTTGAAAACTCCAAAACTGAACTTTTTTCTCGTTTTTTTTATGTTTATTTTTACCCCCTTTAATTTGTCATATAAATTTGTTTTTTGTTTAGGTGGTTTTGATGGCGGCTACGGTGGCACTATGGGCGGTGGAGGGTATGTGCAATCACCAGGAGGCTTTGGGTCCCCTGCACCTACACAAGGCGAAAAAAAAGCTGTGCGTATGAAAACATATATATATTCATAAAAATAACTTGACTAATTTTTCTGTTTTGGCAGGAGGTCTGTGAACCAGGAATACCCACAGTTGTGCATTCTGCAGTTTGTGTTGTTCTCTGCTACAAGGTTAACTGTCTCACAGGGGCGGAGTGTTTTATGCTTGCTCATAAATTGTATTGCGGTCACGAAGAGGTTAAAGCATATAAAGTGATTCCAAAGTAAACACTAAGGTTTAACATATTTGCACTTCTTGACATTTACTTCAAGTACTCTGTGACTAGATAAATGATTTAATAAAAAAAAAAAAACCAACTTATTAATACTAATGTATATTTCCTTATATGCCTGAATTCTTTGCAGATTGAAATCTACTTTAACCACCCGGGGCATATGTACCATTGCTTTGAGAACAAGTGTCCCCCTCATCTGACACTTCCATGTGTGGGTGTAATAATCCAGATCAGAATAGATAAATTGGCTATGTTGCGCAGAAATGAAAAGAGCTGCATCTAGTGCTCTATCTGTGGGCTTCATGTAATAAGAATGCCAGTTATTTTCAATATTTCATATTTATTTCACAAAAAGTAAGCCTTTTATAGTTTTGCCCTAAAATATATTATTTAAGAAAATGTAACCACTGTGCATTTACTTTCAGGAGGGGGTTTTTTGCCTTTAGCAGCTTACTCACTAGCATGCTATTTTATTTTTCTTCCAGAGGTCCAGGACACAACAGATTGTTCCCTGTACAGTTTCCCAGCTGCTCTCTGCCACCCAAAGTGATGAGCTCTTCAAGATAGGAGAAGTAGAACTGTCTCAGGTGTGTGTGCGCATATAAAGTCGTCTTATGACTAGTGAGAATATATGGGATAGGTTATTCTCAACATGTCTGTCCTGGCTGCTTATTTGTGCAGACAGTGCCATCAATGCAGTTTGCTAAAGATCATTATTTTGTGCTAAAGGATCTGATTCTAAGATGAAATGTGGTATAATTGCAGCCACTTACCATAACCTATGATACAGAAGATTCTCACACTCGGGTCAAGTGACCTAGTCCAACAAATTATAGTTTGTACACTCTAACGGAGACGCTGTGCCCTTTACTGGGCAAAGACAAAGGGTCACCTTTTTGTTTAAATTTTTTTTCATTTTATAACAAAGTTGGTTTATTAACCCCTTCATGACCAGTGATGTACAGTGCACGTCACTAGCATCAGGGCTGTTTAAACAGTCTCCAGGTGTCTTTTGCCACCAGGACACTGTTTAAACTTGTAAAGCCGGCTGTCATCTTTACAGTAGAAGCAAGTCTGGCAGCTCAGCTTGTAAGCCCCCCTATGTGATAGCAATTAAAGTAAAGTTTTTAAAATGAATATTAAATAAAATAAATGTAAAAATAATACAAATTTTTAAAGTCCCCCGCCTCGGGTAGCATCAGTTATTCTGTATTTTCAGCACTAAACCTGTGTCCCAAGTCTGTAAGGTTGTCATCTGGTCCTCTGTTCACGCTTTCCTGAAGGTTCAGGCCTCTGCTGATGGAAGTTTTTGCTGGTAGGTCCTTCAGGCGGCCCTGTGATCTTGGGCCCTCTGTTACAGTCCTGTTTTCCTTATGCTATTTTGACATGGGTGCGGGGTGTGTTTGTGTGCTGTGTTTTTTTTGGGTTTTTTTTCCCCTTCAAATCTGTACTATATTTTTCTTTTTCAGGTTACCATAGTTGGCATAGTGAGACATGCAGAAAAAGCACCAACCAACATCTTGTATAAAGTAGATGACATGACTGCAGCACCCATGGATATCAGACAATGGGTGGATACTGATGTAAGAACATAATATGTGATCTTATGGGAATAATGCACACACAAATGATGCTGATGTTTTATTTTTTCCATGAGGCTTGGTTTGGACCTAAAAATGTATATCTTTCTAGCCTTGCAAAACATGTCAGATCTATCGACTAGTATATCAGTAAATTTTGGGAAGGTTGCTTGAAGTGCATAAGAAAACAATGCTTTTGGTTTTTAAAGGGACCTTGTGAGGATAGAATTAAGGGATAGCAATTGCTGATTCGCTTTTGAAAAAATGTAGCCTCCGGGTCTGTCATCTTCTCTTCACTGCTCAGTGAGTATCTGATCTGGATAACATAGGCATTAGAGACCTTAACTGTCTACACACTTGTTCCAGGGTTACATAGTATTTGAGGTTGAATAAAGACATAAGTCCATCAAGTCCAACCTATTAGGATCTCATTCTAGGAGTACCTGTACCCCTGTATATTACCTGTACCCCTGTAAAATATTTTTGACTAGAAATTAAGAATTTGACAATTTAAGAGATGCTGATGATGCAAGAACATGGATAAATACCCCCATGTCTATTCTGGCTGATTTTACATTTGTTTAGGCAGATGTCTATGAACAGTTTTCTAAGGAGCTAATGAAAAGCTAATTTTTGTGCAGATATCTAATATTTTCACTGCAATTCAGTCTGCTCCTTGGATTTCCAACTGCTTCCCCTTTTGAGATCGATTAACATGTAATAACTTAATTTTAGCGTACATTGAATGTAAGAGGTTAAATATGTAATCCCTAATGACTTTACAAACATCGAGACTTCTGGACTGCTATGATCCCATATTAAAACATACAAAAGATCAAAGTAAGGGAGTTTTAAGTCCCTAGCATTTGGAAGTAACACTAAAGCTGTGTTTTTATTTTGTTTTTTTTAAATTTTATTTTTTGTAAATTTCTTATCAGCCTTGCCCAGGTAACCTTTTGTGGACTGCATAACACCTCACCTCTATGCAGTGGCACCACAAGGGTAGTGCGGCCCTCACCAGGTGACACACTTTGGTGTCACCCCCCCCCCCCC